CTATCTCGTTTTGGCCTCATAAGCCACCAGCGTGTAACAAATGTGGATAGAGCCTTCCCAAATCTTTGTTCATGAAGCCCAGCCATGATATGCAAAACAATCCTATTCAATAGAGACAAGTCTGAAGCTTTGCATACAAACTGTAATAATTCATTACCTGAATGGAAGACAGGGAACAACAGAGTAGGAAGCAGTTCTGCAAAAAAAAGTATTGGAGGAGAGAGGGATTGACAGAGGATTCATCAGTGTTACAGTACTGTGTGCAGTTTCTAAACTCCCGGCATGAACATATTTTTGAGCAATGCAGAAATAGATTGGCTGTAGTGATGGTGGAGTTTTTGTCAGTCCTTGAAAACAGAGGAGACAGACTTCTGTCATGAACACTTATACCTGTTTACCATACTGAGAAGTGCAAAGGAAAGGCAAAGTAAAGACCACATTCATGGGCCACAAATCTGTCTGGGAGAAGGAACATTGCTATTAAATAAAAAAAATTAAAAAAAAAAGAAAGAAGAAAAATTGACCTGTGATATTTAATATATTGCTTAAATGAAAGCTAGATATTGTGTGCTGCTCTAACTGGCCTTTGCCAGTCTGTGGCCAACCTGTTGCTGGGCCTGTGCAGGCTACTAATGCAGATTCTACTCAGGTATTATTGAATCCTGTACTCCCTGAGATGGGTGTCCTCATGCAGAAGCCCATGCTAGGAAAGAAAAGAACAAGGTCTCCCCTACATGTGGCCATGCTCGGAGCAATGCACACTGTGGTTACTACATGACGGGACGTGGCAGTAATTTGTGCTCTACTATTACTGTCTTCTGGCACAGAGTGCAAGAAATTATCTCCTCCTTACATTAAAAAAGCACATCCATTGTTTTGAAATATTTCTTTGTGACTCAGATCATAAATGTTATACGTTCTTTTGTATTTCTTTCCAGCTCAGTGTTTTTCTTGGGACTAAATTCATTATTTTATTACTGGGGAGATACATGCAGTCTCCTGCGCAGTTGCAGGATACAGATCCAAAAAGGATCAAAGACAAAGGTTTTGATCACTTGAAAATAGAACATTCTTTTAAAGCAGATTACAAGTAATTATGACATGTGGCACATGGATTGGAATTTTGCTGGCACAGGTCTCCATAAAAGCTCCATTAAAATGCAAAACTAGAACTCAGCCTCTATAGTTTTTAATATAATGGTTCTCAGCTTCTGCTGGACCTGATTTATTATATTCCATAAAGGATTTTGCAAGCATGGCACAAATCAAAGGCAATATCTATCCCTTGAAAACAGTCACAAGTCAAGATGAATTCAGTTTACTGGGAAGTAGACCACAGTTGGAAGTTACAGCTTTAGTTCATTATGTCACTCAAGTTAAAGGCAGACATCCATTATGAAATGATTAGAATTTGTGGTCATCATGAATTAGACACTTAGTCTGCAGTTTTAACAATCCGTCAGGTAAGCTGCTGCTAGACTTGGATTTATCAGGTCACAAACCTTGTGGCATTCTGTCCTGAAGTAACTTCTAAAGCTTGCCTCCCTCAGAGAAAGCTCTAGTGGCACAATTGTAGTAGTGTTAATGCATTTTTGGTGTAAGATTGTGCCTCACATCAGTGCATCCAATTCAGTCTTCCTATGTATTTCTTAGCATGATTAATAGTTTCTATAGCTTAGTGCCTTAGAACTCTAAACACTTCACTTTTTGCTAGCTCCTAGTGTGATGTTGTGTTTTGTTGTTATGCCTAACGGATTGGCGTTTATGATGCCACAGCTGGTGTGGTAGATGAGTTTGCAAAAATATTCAGCTCATTAGTTTGACCCTAACTCCAGTAGTGAAGATCTCTGATTTCAGCTTAAAAAAATGCCTGTTTGTATGTCAAGTAATATAAAATCTGTTGCATTTCAGTTCACATAAGGAATATTACCACCAGCAGCTATGGGTTAGACAACTTGTTCTTGAGACTCCTCTTAACTGGGTACTGAACTTAAACTCTTTGCCTTGCTTTTGCAGAAAACTACATGTCTCCCATGATCAGTGAGGGATCTCAGGGAGACATTCATATAGCTGGCTAAACTACATGCCTCAAGTGGGTGTGAAGCCCTCCAGCTTTCTAATTGAGAAGGCCTGAAGCTGGAGGAAGGGACCCATTCATTTTTTTCCATAAATTTCTATGTCTATCCTTTTGGCATTGTAAAGAAGGTTAAGGCTATTTCCTTCCATAAGTCACTGGCAGAACTTGGAAAGTCAGACACTTAAATGAGCTGTCTTTTGATTCATCCCATGATGATTTAGACCCACAGTATTCCCTTCCCCTCCCCTCCCCTCCCGTCCCCTCCCTCCCCTCCCCTCCTTATTGTCTCTGAATCCAAATTTTTTTCCCATTTGCCAGAATATACTCATGAGGAGCTCAAAGCAGTGCTCTTATTAGGATTATTAACTTCCATTTCAGGAACTTAGCAACAACATTCCTTCTACCCCCTCACTATGCTCTCTATCCAATTAGTTCCATGTTATTATTTTTCCAAGTTTTATAAGGTTCAATCTCTATTAGAAGCTTCATGGAAAGGAAAATCTCAAATGCATGAACTGTACCACATGTTAGAAGCCAGAAATATTGTTTTAATAGTCCCTTCTTTTTAAAGTTGAAGTATGATAAAACTTGGATTACTGCTTGTATCCAAGAGAAATTACAGTAGTGCTTGTACCAAAGAAGCAGACTTTTCTGTGAGTTAATCTGCTTTCACCTTTTCTCCGCTACACTCGCCTGATCAAATTTGCCAACAGTATTTTCCCCTGAATAAGGATGTGATATGCTGTGCTCTGTCATAATCCTTTTCTCCTTCCCACAATTTATTCATGTGTTGCCTTCCTACATTACAGTCTTCTTGTACAATCTCCCTGAAAAAAGACTGTACATTTTTTACATTGCAAAGCATTTTTCATGTTAAAGGTGATTTAGAAATAATAATAATACTTAGGACTGCGTGCCAACTGATATAAATGAGGAAAAATAGTCATAAATATTCCCAATAAATAAATATACTTAGATTTACCACATACCCGGGAAATGAGAGGAAAAAAAATGTTATATGGCACAAAAACATTTCAGGCATTTCTGTATATATTGTTTGTTACCGTCACATGCACTTACCTAATCAAAGTCTATTGAAAAATTCATGTAGTCTTTGCAGGGCTTTGAACAAATCTCTCTGTTTTATTAATGTTAATTTTTGGGGGGAGTTTATAAAGCAATTTTTAAGTTTGCATACAGATAAAAGAATTCAAGAAGCTCAATTCTCTCTCAGGTCCACAGCATGCAGGTGGCAGATGGGCCAGTTCTTCCTGTGTTTGAGCATAAAATTTTTGTACAACATATTCTCTATATCTTATATGTTTTTTTACCTTCCTCTGTTTTAATTACTTTTATTGCTGACTGGTGTCTGTTCTATCTGTTTTCTATGATCCCCAGAGAAATCCCACTTGAGTTCCTTGCAGGCTTGACCTACTCTTTACTATAAACCATGCTCCTGAGTTCTTGCACATTTGGCAAAACCACACATCTGCCCTCTTATTTCCTTCTGAATTTTGTATACTTCAGTCAGCACAACTCATAGTTACGTTTTCACAAAGAAAACAGACTTTACTTCTGCAGTTTCTCCTATAAACAAGATCACAGAGCTGAGGAACAACATTTGAGGGGGAAAAAAACCCCAAAACAAAAAAACTCCAAACAAACAAAAACTACTTCATGGGAATATTTAATATTGTTGTGAATGACCAGGGCAGTAAGTGGAAAAAGTAGCTGACCATGTTTATTTTCCACAGTAGTAAAGTTCATCTCTGAAAAATAATATAATGGGTAGGTGTCCATTACATTAAAAAAACAAAAACAAAACCAAACAAAGCAACAAAATAAACCAACCAACCAAAAAAAAAAAAAAAAAAGGCAACCTATTGGTAAATAATTAAAAATAGGTGCAGACATTTCCATAGGAGGAGTTATAGCCATGATTAACCATTAGTGCATATTCAGCTCCCCAACTCCTAAGCAGGCAGAGAGCACTTATCTACAATGATACTAACAAGTATCATATATATATATATATAATATACGTATGATATGTAATCATACTATTACATATCATACTAGTACAAAGCTTTCGGAACTGTCTGAGTCTGAGCTTTTAAAGCAACCTATTGGTATAATTCCATGAATTTTCAGTAAGCAATTTGAAGCAATATAAAGAAGAAAAATTAATATAGTGGAATATTTTAAGGTTCTGACATTAGGTTTCATTTCACAGTGGGATAAGAAAACGCAAGATGTTTTAAATAAGTATTATTTTGAAATGAATGCACAATAGAAATGTTTCACCAATAATAATTGTGTAGGCGTATTACAGTAACTGCTTATAAATCTTAAATACTAAATAGAGCAAACACTGACTGTCCAAAAGACAAACCACAGCTAAAATATTATATCATAAAAAAATAAGTTTGTTTCTCATTATGGAACATATTTTGGTGTTCCCACTACTAAAAATTGGATAAAATATTATAATCATTTACCTTGAGTTGGCAGTACATTGTTCTGGAAAGTTTGTAAAGACATCTGCCAGACATTTCTCAATTATCGAGACTCTCACAATAATATTTTGTATGTTCTTCAAAAAGTTTGGAATATTCTTAATGTTTCTGGAATCTAAAATCCTGCCTTTTGGGAGCTAACTTTGTAAGTCAGTCTTGATAAAACATAAATCTGTTCACATCTGAAATAGTTCACTGGCCTTTGTTTTCGAACATGTGATATGTGCCTTATAAGCAAATTGAAGATTCACTGAATATATCAGATAAACAGACAGATAAACAAGGACCACTACAATTTCTGTAGATTTAGTTGCTCTGGTTATTGGGTCACGGGACAAATTTCTGATTCCTTCTTCTATACCGATTTATTTCTCCTAATTTGTGTATTTTATGCTCTTCCCATTCAGGGAGACACTCTTCCCACATAATTTTAGTTGTCCAAAAACTGTATGAAGTTTAAGCCTTCTAGTCTATGGACTATGAGAGAAATATCCAGAGAGCAGTTCACTGGTGCAATATGTGAAATGAAATGAAGAACCGGTCAGATACACATGTAAGTGTCACTCAACTACTTTGCTGGAAATCAGTTGTGTCCTTATACTCTCTTTTGAGTGTACTAACTTTGTCTGAGCTTCCAAAATAAATCCCACTGAGTCAGCAGGATCATTCCATCAGATTGAATCATGTTATATTTTGAGTGACTTTGCTGGTTAGAGCTACCTCAATCTCTAGAAAAACATTGGAAAATACTGTTAAAGATTTTTAAAGAAAAGCAAGATTAAGTAATGTAATGAAAATCTGTTTGGTCTTGGTTAAAATGGTACAAATGGTGTAGCATATGATGAAATTTCTGGTTTAAAATTTTACTGCCTTCCAACATTTTTCAGTCTTTATTAATCTGATCAAACTGGGTAAAAAAAAAAAGTCTGACTTTCAGAAAGTTATAAAAAGTATGCAGACGTTTTGATTAGTTAGTTTTGTAGTAATCTGGATTATCATAAGCAAGTTCATAGTCAGTATTCCTTGGCATAAATGGCTTTTTCTCAGCCAGTGCACTTGAATCTGCTGCAGTCCACTTTGGAGCATCAGCTAACTGGGTTTGTTAATAATTAGTTTTGTAGTTCATTATTATTCATCATAGTGTAAGGTACTTTGGCAGAAAAAAAAAAGAGGAAAAGTGGAAAAAAGATATGACAGAACTTGTCTCTAGTTGATTGTCTCTCTAGTAGTGTACCTATAAACTGATCCAGAGCATTATGCTCATCTCCCTTAAGAAATAATTGTCAATTTGAGGTGCTTATGGTCTCAGCAGAAGAAATTTTTAATGGGGGAAGGCATATAAAGGCCTGCAAGTTTATCAGTGCAGATGCAAAAGTTGGTAATCTTTATCCACTGCCCTCCTCTCTGTCTTGGCTAGTAAAAGAAATGGATTTCAGTTTTCAAATCCTTTGAGAACAGTGTTGCGGGTTTTGTGGGGTTTTTTTTTTGGTTTTGTTTTTGTTTTAATTAAGCACAAGGAATTTATCTTATTTACATACAATAAGCCAACAATGAGCCAACATCTGGCACTGTCCTTCTTAAATATAATACTTTGATACTGGTTTTTCAATGTTGAAGCACAGGTGGTGGACTGACATACTTAATGTATTCTCTTATGAGCAATACTGTTGACACTTGAAGGTGTTACTTTGCGTTGATAGTACTCGTTCAAAGCAGATGATCTGTTATGTTACAGGCACCATTGAATGCTAAGGTGCTGTACTTCTCTCAGCTCTGCTGATGAGGAGAAATCAGTGAACACCAAGGAATTCAAATATCTCTTGCCTCAGCCCATATGAACACATAACACAGTAAAGCGACATGCTGTAACTTTGAGACTTATACTATTTGCTTCTAGGAAAAGCTCTGTGGAGAAAAGAAAAATAGACAAAGAGAGGGTTGATGTTACAAACATACCAGAGGACCTCTTCACCTTTATGTACAAGCCAGTGACAGTAAAGCAGCTCTTTTACCTAGATTATGCCAAGAAACAGTTTCTCCTCTAAAATGTCTTTCTTATTCCTTTCAGTTCATTTACTGCAGAGTTTTCACTATATAAAATGGTGAGCATAGTTACTTGCGTGTTTGCTTTTGAATCAGATGGCTCAGCTACCTGCATCTTCCACCCTGAGAAACAGAGAAGAAATTACTCGTATTCCTGTGCCCATTGAATAGTTCAAGCAATTAAATGACTGCAAAGGAAATAGTGACAAAACCTTTTTCTTTGACACAGATGCATCATGCAGCCACAGCCTCAAAAATGTCAGAAGTTCAGAACAAGCAGAAAAGATCACATCCAGCTCCACTCCAAGAGCAACAAGTATGCCCTGTTTGACCAGACAATTATAGGACTCCAACTGGAGGCTTTAGTCAACAGAGGTTGGACACATATACATCTTTCCCTGTAGGTGCCTAAACTGCCAGAAGAAGGAGAAGGGTAGGCTGAGGGAGGAGACATCAAGAACAAGTTAAAATGAACTCTAGCATGGGCTATGTGATAGATGTAATACATGCTGATCTTTAGCCATCACTCTAGGTAAACTGTAAATTGTTTGGAATATGATGATACTTGTATCCTGCAAATTTACAAACTAAAAGATTCATGTCATTCAATCAGGGGAAATCTGGAAGAAAAGTAGAAGCTGGTAATAAATGAATTATCCAAAAACTGGGTAATATAGGAAAATTAGATATTTTCAGACCTATAGATGCAGTATATTCAGTTACAGTGTGTGTGCTTTTAACACCAAGTCTGACAAATCAAATAGGAAGCTTAAAAGATTTTTCAATTTATCACTGCATTAGTAAAAAAACCAAAATCCAACAAACAACCCAAACACTCCACAACCTTTAAAATATTACAAACTGCATTGAAATATTTAGAAATATATATATATAAAATATATTTATGTGATTAGATAATCTCCTCAAGGTGAGCAAGAATGCCCATTAGAAGCTCTATATCAGAAAAAATAACTACTTTAAAATTATTCTACACAGTAAACACATTTTATCACATTCACTGAAGTAAAGACATATTTTAAAACTAGGTATTTTGCTATAAATGGCTTATATGAACAAATTTTCACCTAGAGTTTAACAAAGAATTTTGAATTGTGAGTTTGATAAGGCAACATTTATCCTATGCATCTTAGTCAGGCTAGATTCTATGCTGAATTACAACCTGAGAAGTCCCCATGGAAGGTGACTTCATTATGCAGGCTATAAACCAACACAGAACTTACTGTATTTAATTCAAGACATTAATGTAGCCTAAAGAGATGTTTTCATTTGCACAGATTTAACTTTGTTAGGGCAGGGCACCCAAAGATGAGATCAGCATTGAACTCTTTAATTTGAAAATATTGAAAGGAAAAACAACATTTACATCACAATTAGAGATTGTATTCCTTCATGTATTAGAAGAAAAAAAACTAAGGTTAATGAGTATACCAAGCTGATATTAAAAATCTTTTCATTCCTTAAAGAGCACCCAGAAAAGCAACATTTTGCTGTAAAACAAAATTAAATACCTTTAAATTAATATGCTGATTATTTAATATAATTAAAAAGAAATCAGACAAGATATGACAACAGAATTATTGGTTTCAGTCCTTTTCTGGTTGCATTGTTCTAGTACCTATCATTACTTTACATTGAAATTTCTTTAAGTAGTTCTACTATCATCTGTGTATATATATATTGCAATGGAAAAAAAAAGAAATTATTTAGGATTACTAAATAGGTAAATTTTGTAACACCAGACCACACATTTGTTCAAACCAAATGTGACTTTTTACAAAAGTAACCTTTGTAATTATAGTCTCGGATTTTTTTTAATCTTAGGATATAGAAAACTTGATTTTAAGATTTTATTCTATCGATAATTTCAAAATTACATTAAACCAAGATTTTCAATATGCCACAATTTGTTTATATGGTGTTTCAACATAGAGAGGTAATAAAAAAAATTACATTATTGCTCTTTGTGAATAGAGAAGGACTCATGGGGGCTGTGATGGTATGTCTTGGCCACAGTGATCACGAAGTGGTTGTGTTTAACTTTTCAGTGTAATGAGAAAAAGAGGTCAACAGAGTTGTTACCCTGGACTTCAAGAGGACAAGGTTCAAGCTACTCAGGGAGCTACTTAGCAGTGTCCCAATGAAATCTGCCTCTGAGGGCTTCTGTGTCCGTGACTGCTGATCAGTTCTTAAGAAGCACCTTTTAAAAGCATAGGACCAGGCAATTCCGCCGTGTTCAGCATCAGGGAACAGAGAACTTGTCTTGGAACTCAAGCAGAAAAGGAAATTATATGTGTGGAAGTAAGGTCAGGCTTTGCAGGAAAGTTACAGAGCTATGGTTCATATATGCAGGGAGACCAAAGCTCAGTTAAGAGTTGAGACTGGCCAGTGTTGTGTCACACAACAAGAAGGCCTTTTTAAAATACATTAATAGTAAAGGAAGTCTAAAGAAAAGATTGGGAGATTACTTGCTGAAGATGATCACCTGGGAAATCAGGATGAAGAAAAAGTGGAGCCATTCAATGATTTTTTCCCCCTCAGATTTTAATAACACTGACAGACCTTGGATTGCTTGGTCCTCTGAGCTGGAGGGACAGCCTGCCTCAGCATCATCATCACTATGGGATCAGAAGAATCTGCTCTGATTGAGGAGCACTTCCTCAATTTCTCCTTCACTGACCATGGTGTATGCAGGGCTCTTTCTTTCACATACCCTCACTCCTCTCTCCTAGCTGCTCTTGTGCAGCAGATTTCAACCTTTCTTAAATATGTTATCTCAGAGGCATCAATTGGCTCAGTTTGGTCAGCAGCGTGTCTGTCTTGGAGTTGGCTGGTGCTGGGTCTGTCAGACACAGAGGCAGTTTCTGGCACCTTCTCACAGAAGCCACCCCTGCAGCACCTTTGCTACCACAACCTTGCCTCTCAAACACAATACATTAACGTAAGTGCTGCCAGAGAGCCGGTATCACTCCTACTCTCCCACCCTCCACTTCCAAGCACCAAGGCCAGGGTGCCCAAGCTCTTTGAGCAGCGGTCCTGGTGACCATTTTTAGAAAAAAAAATATTTAGGTACCATAAAAGCATCAGTATTTATTAGCTTAAGTGCTAATGATAGATATAACTCTGTTTATTACAGAGATAGTAGACATTACAGACAGTTGCACTAGGTCCCTTTCCAGTAATACTCATATGAGTTGGTAGTTTAAAACAATTTGGAGCCACAACTCAGCTGATTACATATGGCTTTCTCGATGAAGAGATGCAATTACAACGCCTAGTTGACCTTCTCTGTTTAGGAATCCTTGTGACAGGTTTTTAAATACAGAGTTTCAGAGGAGTGAAAGAATTAAAGAACTCAGACAAAGCAACTGTGTGATCATGATGAATGCCCTGGTGGAATGACTTCGAAAGTGTAAACTCTTGAACTGAGCATAGAAATTCTTTTAACTGTGGTTTGTATAAACATTTCACATCTTGCACCATAGCAAACCTGTGCCCCTACTATGCTAAGATTAACTTACAGTGCTTGGAAGTATGTAGAAATTGTTTAACATATAACCTTATAGCATGGGTTTTACTCCTTTCTTAGCAGAACATTTATATTTTATCTGAAGAAAAAGTAGTATCCTATTGTAACAGCTTTAAAGGCTTGTTAGAAACTTTCGTATAATAAAGCAAATATAATACTGGTCGCGCCGTGCTGCACTGCCTGGCAGTGCCCGGGGTTGTGCCCTCAAGGGAGAGGAGAGCAGGAACTTTTGAGCTCACAGAGGTTTGCCAGTCCAATTGGGGGGAAGGGGAGAGGGATGGGTGGGCCGTGGGGTCCCCGGACTGGCAGGAAGGTGGGCGGGAGAGTCCTGCGTGGGGTGTCACGGGTAAGCAGTGCGATGGAAGATCTGTGGTAACACAGTGGGAGGAGGGTAAGGTAAGGGTGGGTAGGGGCTTCTTCTAGGGGGTTGAGCGGTTTAGGCTGGGCTGGGGCCATGAGAGGTACCCAAACCCCAGGTGGGTGAGGGGACTGGAACGGTTTGCTTTTGGCTCGCCTGTGGCTGCTGTCCAGCAATGGTTTGCTTTGGAACTATAGCATCCTGAAAGGGTGCTCAGGGCAAGGGAATGTCCATGGGAACATCCCTGAGTCCGAGTATAGGTGGCTGGGAGAAAAGTAGGGAGTGAAAGACTTGTCCTAACCATTTTAATGGGGAAGTAGCTTGTGTGCCCCTAGGTTGTGAGCTATGCTGGCGATGGTACATGCCTTCGGCAGGATTTCCCATGCCAGATAGGTCAAAACTGAAGGGTCAGATAAAATGTGTCCACAGGCATGATGGGCTCACTAGCCTTCCAGCAGTCATCCTAGGAGAAGGACAACTCTAATTCCAAACCTGGGCAGATGGAGCTCACTTAGCCCTGTAAGGCTAAGACAAGTCCAAGCTCACTAGGCCGTGGCAGATGAACCTTAGGATTAAAGGGTGGGTCCAGTTCTGCACTTGCTGTGTCTCACCTAAAAAAATCCATTGCACAGGCTCGAAGGCTTTACCCACATTTGCAAAGCCCTGTAGTGACAGGCGAGGGTCGAAATGGCAGGTGATAAGATGCACTGGAAGCCGCAGACCCAACCCTGCATACAGGCAGTTCAGGACATTGGTCACCTGAGACTGACCCCGGAGATGACAGTCTCTTTCGGCAGCATCCTGAATGACCAAGCAGCCTTTTTCAAGGAGAGTATTGCTTGCTCCACACGGAGAGGGGCCTAGAAAAGGTGGCCTAACCAAAGCTCATCTCCACCTTTCACCCGGTTGGTTAACCGCAGCCAACAGGTATCTTCTGATGCGGTCAAACAAAGATTAAGAGACAAAGGCATACACCTGCCTCTAAAGGTGTACCCAAATTGACTCTTGCGTGCTGGAACATCAGAATCATGCTTGATACTGCAGATAGTGGGCATCCTGAGTGTCGTTCTGCCCTAATTTTCCACAAAATGTCATGTCTCAACATCAACATTGCTGATCTCAGGGGAGTTCGTCTCCATGAGGAAGGCAGCCTTAGAGAACATGGTGCCGGTTACACACTCTTTTGGTCAGGTAAACCCAGAACAAAAAGGCATCTTTCAGGAGTTGGCTTCATGATTAAAAACTCTATCGTCCCTGAACTTGAATATCTGCCAACAGGTCATTCTGATCGCGTTATCTCCTTACGCCTTCCACTACACAACAAGCAATATGTTGTCCTCTTTAGTATATATGCCCCAACTCTCCAAGCTGACCCTGACGAAAATGATAAGTTTTACACTGACCTGCACCGCCTTACCCAAAAGATTCCCGCAGATGATAAGATCATTATCCTTGGTGATTTCAACGCCAGAGTAGGAAAGAACTTTGAAGCCTGAAAAGGAGTATTAGGCAAGCGTGGTGTTGGAAACTGCAACAATAATGGTCGACTTCTGCTAGAATTCTGTGCGGAGCAACAGCTCACCATCATTAATAATATCTTTCAGCAGAAGAATAGTCTGAAGACAA